CCCCCCCCGCCCGCGGCGGGAGCAACTACTCCGAGCTCCCCGCGCCCCCCACGGGCACCGGCTTCGAGGAAAGACCGAGCAGCCGGAGCTCTGGGGTCCCGACTCGCGCGCCGAGCTCCTCTACCCTCATTCTCCCCAGACACTCTAATCCGCGCTACCCCTATCCCTAAAACTGCCCCCAGTCCTCCCGCGGGTGTTTACCGGGACTCGGGCGGCGGCGACTCCTCAGTCCCTCGACTAAGATGGCAGCTGGTCCCGAGCCCCGACCACAGCGACTAGAGCGAGTTAGCGGCCAACGCGCAGGCGCCTCTGCTCCGGCGCTTCGGGCTGACTACAAGCCCCAGCAGGCCTTGCGCGCCAGCCGACCGCCGGCCTCGAGAGCCAGCTGCAGCGGGTGAGCGCAGCTGAACCCGAGTTCTCCCATCTCCGGGTGAGACGCCGCGCTCTGCACTCGCTCCCTGCACTTTCAGATTCTTTTTTTAACACCCGTCCACCAGAACCCCTAAAGGTTAGCTGTGGTTCTACTGTCACCTGAGAGGATTGGTAAAACTTAGCCTGCCAAACCGTTCTGCCCCTAGAGTTTCTGATCTGATCAGGGGATGGGATTTGATCATTTGTATTTCTTTCTTTTCTTTTTTTTTTAAGGTGTGCACTTTTATTGAACTGGTTTAAAGTCAGCGTACGGGTAAGCCCTGGTTGCTTCCAGACCTACCCACTCCCAGAGAAACCAAAAGCCTTCATATATCTCAGATTGGGGGACAAAAAGGGGGTCCACAATAGCTGATCATTCAAAATAAAACAAAATTTAAAAGTATTAAGGCGAAGATTTTTAAAATTGTGCATTACATAATTTACACAAAAGCAATCTTGTCATCTCCCCTGTGTGTATTTCGGTGAAGGCTGGGCCATTCTCCTTAGGGAGAAGTGGGGCAGCTTCTGGGAGGGCGAGAACTTCCTGTAAGGATGCATCTCACAATATTTGGAATGACTGTTAAAAAAGAGCAATGTACAGTCCAAGTCCTCGGCCACATTGCAGAACACTGGGGATGCTTGCTTCAACCGATCACTTGTATTTCTAACAAGTTCTCGGTGATGCTGCTGGTGCCTAGGATCACATCCTGAGAACCACTGGACTCTACGTTAGTCCTTAAGAATGTACACTCCAGAGATACAGTGATTGGGTTCAAATCCTCCCTTTATCTTTTAACAGGGTGCGGTTAGGGTGGATGATAAAAGGTTTGTGGCACCAATGGGTGTTCTGAAAATGGGTGTTCTAAAGACTGATTAGCAGACTCTCTTAATCCTCACAACAAACCTGTGAGAGAAATAGTGTTATTATCCCCGTTTTACAGATAAATAAACCACATCACATGCTAGGTAAGAACCCAGGCAGTCTGGCTCCAGAGTCCATCCTCTTAACCTCCTTCGTGGGCTGTTTGTGAGAATTAAAAGACTGTGCAAACAGAGACTCAGAGGCATGACTAAGTGCTCAGTAATTAGTGACCTTTTACTACTACTGTTTCGCTGTTTCCTCCTAATGAAAATGATATTTTACCATCTGGGAAGTTACTTACACTTTCTTAAAAACTTCCAAAACCACCACGTCAATATTTTCTGCATGATGCCCACATTTGTATGTAAGCATGTGAAAATACAAATTTCTGCACCCCTTACTTCATTCAGATTATCCAGGCAGTGGTTCCCTAACCTTAGTGTTCATCAGAATCACCTGGAGGGTTTGTTAAACCATAAATTGTTGGGCCCCACTCACAGAGTTTCTGATTCAGTAGGTCTAGTGGTGGGGATCTACGAAGTTACATTTTTTTAAGTTTATTTATTTCTTCTATAATACAGAGACAGGCACTCTCCGACAGGGTCTTCATGTCGCCATCCATCTCCAGTCCCAGTGAAGAGAAAATATACACACATCTGTCAGCCCGGGGCTCTCCCATGTAGGTTCAGTTATGTTAACCGCTACACCACTGCCTGTCCTCAGAATTTGCATTTTTAACCAAGATCTACAGTGGAAGAATGACTTCTGATGTTTTTCTTTTTTTCTTTTTGGAGAGATTTTTGCTATCAGGCAGTGCACTCCCTGGAGAGACAAAGACAGAAAATGAGAAACAGAGAGACAGAAAGCAAGAAGCCAGCCCCTGAATTTCCTTCTCCTCCATTCTCCTTTCAGAATTTTGGGCACGTGTGCGCGCGCACGCACACACACACACATGCACACACACAGTGTAAGTTTTAAGCTGCTGGATCCATGACTCGAACTACAGTCGAGTATGTGAGAGTCCATTGACATAACCATTCTGCTATCTGCTGGTCCCACTTCTGGTATTTTTCAACCTTTTAATTTTTTAAAACTATTTAACTTTATTTATTTATTTATTTGACTAGAGAGGGACAGAATAAGAGAGAGGGGAAAAGTGAGAAAGCAAGTTATCAGGTAAGGACTCAAACCGCAGCTGGGCATGTGGGAGTCCAGTGCCCTTAACTACCACACCACCTGCCGGCCTCCAACCTTTGAAAATTTGTTTAATCATCTTGCTAAGGAGCATCTTCAGACATCTTCCACCCTAACTCGCCTCTTCATGAATTTAAATAAATAAATAAAGTTTTAAAAATCATTTTTAAAAAAGTATGTGTTAGGGAAATCTGAGGTTTTCATTTTTTTTCTTTCTCTCTTCCTTTTTTTTAATTAAATTTTTGCCATAGGGTGTGTGCACTTGCTGGAGAGAGACAGAGAGAGGGAAAGTGAGATATCACCCCTGGAGGGATGGTCACACTGCAAGCCTGTCTCCTCCATTCTCTCAGGATTTTGGGCACACACACGTGTCCACCATGATTTTCAAGCTGCCTGGCCGGGGACTTGAACCATGATCAGACATGTGGGAGTCTAGTGCCTTAACTACCATACCACATGAAATAAAACAAAATACAAAGTAAAGTAAGGGAGAAGTCACATATAATCCAAAGGAGAATAAATAGAGGAAATTATGGTATGTTCACACAATGGGATACATTTAGCAATAAGAACAACTACTGCTACTCAGAAATACAGATAAAATGGCCTCTGTCCCGTAGCACGGAAGTTAAGTGTTGTGCAAAGCTGGATCCCACAATGGCCAACCATGGTTTGAATCTCAGTGCATGTGAATGCTTGCTACAAATTTTGATGGGATGGAGAAATGGAAGAAAAAAGATTGCAGCATGACCATGTCCCATTGAGACTGCTTTTTCTCTCTTTTCAATTGCATGATCTGGCACTTAAAGACAGAATGGGCAAAACAAACCTAAGATGATGAAGAAAACTAATTATTCTGGAGTCCCAGGAATTGACTTAGAGGAATCATAAGGGAATCTTTCAGGGGATGGGAATTGTTCTATATGTTGATCTGGTTTGCACAAAGTCTACACACACACAAACACACACACACACACAAATTGCTTGACTCATATACTTATTATTTGTTCAGTTTACTGTATGTATGTTATAGTTCAATGAACATTAAACTGTAAGAAAGGAGGAGTGATGAACATTGGATTCAGGAGGATGATTACCTTAATTGAGAAAAGGGCTGGTTGAGGAGAGTGGCATATGGTTAGATTCAGGTTATTGACAAGGCTCTACATTTTATTTTAGGATAGTAGCTCATCAGAGCCTCTGTCTTTACTTTAAGAAACTAGTTAGAAGACAAGGCAGTGGGGCCAGCAGTTAGCATAATGGCTATGTCGCTGGACTCCCATGTAGTCAACTGCGGTTCAAGTCCCAGACCCAGTGCCTTAAACTCACGCTGGGCGCATGTGTGTGTGTGCCCCAAGATCCTGAGAGGAGAATGGAGGAGAAGGGATTGCGGCGTGGCCATCCCCCCTGGGGGGTGATTTCTCGCTTTCTGTCCCTCTGTCTCTCTGTCTGTCTGGCGAGCACATGCGCCCTATAGCAAAAACCTCTAAAAAAAAAAAGGCTTAGTTGCAGCAGCACGTTGGGAGCTGCATAGTTAGGAGCCATCTCTACGATCACCCTGAGGAGTTGGGCCAGGGTCACTATTTGCAGGGCACAGACTACAGTTCATTCTGCCAAACTTGAATTCTGGATGCACTTCTCTGTGCCTCAGTTTCCTCAATTTCCTTATTTATGAAACAAAAATAACATTATGCATATATTTGAGGGTTTGTGGACACATACATGAAATCATATGTGTGAAGTGCTAGGTCAGGTGGCAGGCATGCAATACCAATACAATTAGCAACACCAAAATCATGTGGCAGCTGACAGGACTTGTTCTGGAATGTAGGTGAGACATCTCCAGAGATTCCAAGGAATTCTTGGAGAAGATGTGACAGAGAATGCCAGCTGCATTAGCAGATGGAAGCCAGGAACCAAAGAACTGCTTTAAGCAGTTATTTTAATGAGAATGTGTTATACTGGCACAAATGCTATCATGTTTGCCATGTTATTTAATTTTCATAATTTGTAAAAGGCAAGGATTGGAAGAGCCAGAAATATTCAGGATTAAACCTGGCTCTGCAACTTCCCAGCTGGGCAGTCTTGGACAAGTGACTTCATCTCTATGACACTTGGTGTTCTCCTCTGCAAAATTAGATGTCATGAAGATCAAATGAGAGAGGGTATGTGCCACGCCTGGCATTGAGTAGGTTCTCGATAAAGGTAACAGAAGCAGGTATTACTTTCATAATCACTATCCCTGACATTATCACTTCTCTCACAGTCCATATCAGAAGACATAGCCATGAGACAGGTTTGTTCATAAATAGCAGGATCTACAGTTATAGAATCAACCCCCAAGATGGGACAGGCTCTGGAGACAGAACCAGCTAAAGGTGAGGATTAGAAGTCCATTACGGTAGGCAAAATGCAAGATTTCAGAGAGGAGGGAGACCAGCAGCTGGAATAACCTAGTGGTTGGCATGAGATACCCTGACACCAAACTAGGTGCAGGAGATAAAAGCCCCAGAGGCTGACCTCACTGACTCAACAGAAAAGTTGTGGTTTGACCCAGATCCGTGGTCAGGCTAAGCTAGCCTTGAATCTCAGAACCATCACTGTTCACAGTATGACCTTAGGAAAGTACTCACTGACTCAATGGGAAAGTTGTGGTTTGGCCTACATCCTGCAGTCAAGCTGAGCTAACCTTGAATTTCAGATCCATCACAGCTCATGGTGTGACCTTAGGAAAGTTCCTTACTTTCTTCAACCTACATTTTCTCTGCTTTTTTTTTTTTTAAGAGATTTTTGCTATAGGGTGCACATGCTC